GAAAGCATGTAGTGGCTTCAGAAGAGGGAGACTTGCTTACTTCCAGCTGAGGAGCAAGGGAAAGTCTTAGAGAAAGGCAGTGTCTTCTGAGTAGCCCTTGGGAGAAGGGAGGTTGTGGCATATAGAATGGGCTGTTGGGACAGTGTGAGTTCCCATTAGCTCCCTAAGAGGACCACAAAAGGGAGCAGGAAAGCACTCCGTCTGAGCAGGGAGCAGAGAGTAGTGTGACAATACGTCACTAATTTTTCTACTGTCCAGAAATCTCCACTCTTAGCACCTTCATGGATGAGAGCCAGTTTGGAGATTGGCTGAAGTTTTTGTAAACTACTCTTGTGAATGACATCCATAATTTTTGCTGTATAGTATTCTGTTTGTAAGGCCAGCCCACACTCTTGGGAGGGAACTAAGAAGGGTGTGAATATCAGGAGGACATCTTTTCTGCCTCAGGAAGAAAAAAAATCAGCCCCTTAAAGTGCTGACTAATAGCATCAACTTTGGACTTGGAATGATACTATTTTTGTTTCTATTCTGGCTTTATATTTTGAACTTTCCTTTGGATACTCTGTAAATATTCATCATCTCAGAGCCTTTTGAATTGCAATGTCTTTTAGTCGAAACTGAGCAAAATGTGTCATTTGAATAATAAAGACCTCATTAAAGTGAGAGGAAAGGAATTCTTTTTCTTTTGTACAAGCCAATTAAGTGTCTTTACAATTAAAAAGAAAGTCAAGCACTATAGTTTCATATTCCGTAAGCCTGTTTTTAATTAATAGAGGTGACAGGTTTTAGGTACAGGGTACGTATTTTGCCTCTGGTATTGTTCAATTAACATCAATGAAGGGTGTTAAAATTTGGTGAGAGAGGAGTTCCCTAGATCCTCTGTGGGTTCATGCCTCTAGGCTGAGGTCTTTGGTAACAAGTTGCTTTGTTTGATGCTGTTTGTATTTCCCTGAGAAAATGTGCAGGCAAGGGTAAAGGTAAGGAGGAGAGGTGGCGGTGTTATTGAGAGGAATGGTGTCAAAATTCCAAATGCCCGGCTGTATTAGTTTTTGAGGGCGGTCATAACAAGTTATCACAAACTTGACTACTAAACACCACAAATTTATTCTCTTGCAGTTCTGGAGGCCAGAAGTCCAAAATCAAGGTGTTGGCAGTGTTGGTTCCTTCTGGAAACTCTGAGGGAGAAACTGTTCTGTGCTTCTTTCCTAGCTTCTGGTGGCTGCCAGCAATCTTTGGCATTCCTTGACTTGTATACACATCACTTCAGTCTCTTCCTCCGTCATCACATTGCCTTCTTCTTTTTGTGTCTTCTAAGGACACTTGCCATTGGATTTAGGGCCCACCCTAATCCTGAATGCTCTCGTCTGGAGATCCTTAATTTAGTTACGTCTGTTAAAGACGCTTTTTCCTGATAAAGTCGAATTCACCAAGTTCTAGTTAGACATATCTTTTGAGGGGCCACCATTCATCCCACTGCAAAAGCTGTGGCATACTGTCTTAGTTATCTAGTGCTGCAGTAACAAATACTGCAAGTGGGTGGCTTTAACAAACACGAATTTATTTTCTCATAGTTTAGGAGGCTAGAAGTCCAAATTCAGGGCACCAGGTCTAGAGGAAGGTTTTCTCTCTCTGTGGGCTCTGGGGGAAGCTCCTTGTCTCTTTTCGGCTTCTGTTTCTTGTTTCCTTTGAGATCTCATATTGTGTGGCATCTGTCTTCTCCCCAGTTTGTGCTTTCTTGCTTAATCTGCTCTTTTATATCTCAAAAGAGACTAATTTAAGATACACCCCACACTAGTACTGCCATGTTAATGTAACAAAGAAACCCCATTCCCAAATGGGATTAAAACCACAGGTATAGGGGTTAGGATTTACAACACGTATTTTTGGAGGACACAATTCAATTGTTAACACATACCAGTGTTATGGATTCAATCTATAACACGTACCATTCTCTACAAATGATGCTCCCCATTTTGCCTGCACATGAGGCAGACCCCTCCCCAGCCACATTCCAAGGGGGTGGGATGTAGCTGTGGGAGTGGTTTGCCCCATGTGCAGGCAAAATGGGGAGCATTGTTTATAGAGAATTAAAAACAATAACAAAAGTGACTAAAAGTTAGTATGCTTTTTATTATCACCATGTGTCAGCAATTGTAAACACTGTCAATGATTTAAAATACTCCTCCCTGATGGACTGGACTGTTCTCTCTGTGCTACCCTCCTCCATACTCCACTGCTTAATAGAGGGATTACTGAGTCTGACAATGGGGATCTTTTTAATTCTCTTGATAGATATTTTAATTTAATATCTGGGGTACAGGAATATATATTCCCATTAGCTTTATGTAAGACAATAAAAAATATAATAATAATATTGTATATTTGCTAATCTGATTGGTAGAAAATATCTGATTTTAATTTTTGCTCCTAGTAAGATTGAACATGATAAATATTATGACAGTTATTTACAATCTGATTTTATAAAATTTTAAATTGTGTTTGTCATTATTTCTATTAGACTTTTAGAATGTGTTTTTTATTGATTTGTAAGAACTCTATAGTAAAAACATGAGCTCTTCATATCATTGCATATATTTGCTGTTTCACTACTTTTTTTTTTAGTTAATAGACTTAATTTTTATACAGGCTTTTCTTCATGCTTCTCTTTATTACATACCAATTTTTTTTTTTTTTTCCAATTCCAAACTCTTAGGCTGGAAGGATTAAGGATGGGAACAAAATCAGATTAGTGCAAATGGACAGTCACAGCTCTGTGAGAAGTTTCTTTGAAAACAAAATCTGATTTTTTAAAAAATGGAAGTATTATTGAGATACCATGTAGGAAATATCACCTACCAGCTGTTGCCAAGGAATCTGAGTTCTGTGAGGGTAGTGAGCACCATCAGTTTTAAGTTCTTCATTTCACAGACAGGAATCAGAACCTCAACGAGCTTGGGTGATTGGCCGAAACTAGAATAAAAATGCAGATCTTTGAACTCTTAATCTAGAGTTCCTGTACAGCCCCCTCCCCACCATGTGTTAGCTAAATTCTTGAAAGGCATTCTTTCCTGTAAAGCATTTATTTGATCACATTTTTTTCTTATTACAGAACACTGCATGTTGATTACAGAAAAAAATGAAGAAAATCACATACACTAAAAAAAAAAGACAATTTTAAGTCACTTTGAATTTCACCCACCCCTAGAGACAACTACTGTTTACTTTTATTATATATATATTTCGTTGCCATTTTCTGTTTATGTGTATATGTATATACTGTACATATTGTTTTGTAACATGAATATTTTACAGGGTCAGTAGATTTGTTTGCTTATTACAATTTTAATGGCTGCATTGTATTTTATCATATGAAAATATTCTGATTTATTTAATGATTTCCCCATTGTGTGTTTAGTTTTCTTCTAATTTGTTGCTTTTATGTTACAATTGCAAGCAATGTGGATAGCCGTGGATACATTTCTGTATACAATTCCTGTTAGTAAATTAGGATAATTTCCCACAAAAATGGTTTATTTATGAGGATTTAGGATTTTAATTCACATGAAAGACTTAACTTTTATTTTTTTAAATTTATTATGAAACATGTTAAATATATACAAAAGAAAAGAGACTTTTAAGAGACCTACACTTATTATCCCAAGTTCATTTCTAAAATGTAGATTTAACCTGACCTCTAAAGGGAATATATTCAAACACTATATGCCCATCTCTTTAGACAGAAGCATTTCCCCTTAATATTTTTACTAATAGCTACTGTGTGCCAGATTCTGTGCCACTTTTTTTTTTTTTTATTGTTGTGCTTTAAGTGAAAGTTTACAGTTCAAGTTAGTCTCTCATACAAAAATTTATACATATATTTTTTTATGACGCTAGTTGTTCTTCCTATACTGTGACAGCACATTCTTCTTTTCCACCCCGGATTTCCCATATCCATTCAACCAGCTCCTGACCCTCAATGCCTTCTCATCTCACCTCCAGACAAGAGCTGCCCATTTACTGCCCATTTAGTCTCATGTATCTACTTGTGCTAAGAAGCACACTCTTCATGAGTATCATTTTATGTCCCATAGTCCAGTCTAATCTTTGTCTGAAGAGTTGACCTCAGGAATGGTTTTAGTTTTGGGTTAACAGAGAGCCTGGGGGCCACGTCTTCCAGGGTTCCGCAAGTCTCAGTCAAACCATTAAGTCTGGTCTTTTTACTAGAATTTGAGTTCTGCCTCCCACTTTTCTCCTGCTCCATCAGGGACTCTCTGTTATGTTCCCTGTCAGGGTGGTCATTGTGGTAGCCAGGCACCATCTAGTTCTTCTGGTCTCAGGCTGATGAAGTCTCTGTGCCACCTTTTAACAGCAATTTTCTTCTTTATTCCTCACATCTCCTTTAAGGGTTATTATGATTTTATAGATGAGTAAGCCGAGAATTGGATGAATTAAGAAGCACAGAGCTAATTAGGTAGTAGAACTTAGGTTCCAACTCAGGTTAACAATTCTTCTTGGTTTCCTGGGACTATCCTGGTTTTAGAATCCCTGGGTGGTACAAACAGTTAACCCACTCGGCGGCTAACTAAAAGGCTGGAAGTTTGAATCCACCCAGAGATGCCTTGGAAGAGAGGCCCGGCAGTCTACTTCCCAAAAATCAGCCATTGAAAACACAATGGAGCACAGTTCTAGTCTGACATGTCATGAGTCAAAGTCAACCTGATGGCAAGTGGTTTTGGTTTATCCTGTTTTTAGCATTGAAAGCCCCACATCCCAGAAACCTCTCATTCCCAGCAAACCAACTCAGTTCTGTCCCACTCAAGGCCAAAGTCTTCCCCACCTCTCCCATTATAGTGGACTAAGAATCAACATTATAGGGGATCCATTTCCGACTGACTGGAATCTTGAAGATGGTGAAGAATTACTTATTCCCAAGGTGGCATGAATTATCCTTGGTTTTAGAGTGCTCATGTCCACACAAGGTTGGATCTTTTATTTTTCAGGCCTCTTCATGTGCTTGTGTGCAATGCAGCGGCTTTTGCTTTGCCGTGGAGCCTCACAAAAGACGGCCTGGAGACTACCTTCCAGGTGAATCACCTGGGACACTTCTACCTTGTCCAGCTCCTCCAGGACGTACTGTGCCACTCAGCTCCTGCCCGTGTCGTTGTAGTCTCCTCGGAATCCCATCGGTGGGTTAGAATTCAATCTTTTGTTCACTTGTCCCCTTACTTGCACCAGCTAATATTTCCCCATGGCTCTTTTTCTGAAAATAACTGGGATTAGTCCTCCTATGAAAAATGTGGGTGTATTTAAACTTGTTTACCTAATTTCTCTAGGTTTTGTTGTGGGGGGTATAGAAGATTGTTTGGGGAGATTGTCTCTAACAATGTAGTTTTTTGTGTTGTTTTTTTTTACAACTGTATTTCAGGTCCCTCATTGATTTTGCTTAGACATGGAATAATAATTGATTAAATCTGAATGGCGTGACCTTTATTGATTTGTCATTCAACAACTTCAACATCTTACCAAGAAGAATGTGCAGTTATTCTAGCAGGAGAAACAATGCAATTAAAGACTGCGAGATGAAATCCAATTGTTTTATAATGAGAAATTAGGGAATTCAATGCAGGCATTAGCTGTGTAATTGTAGAAAGGGAAGTACTGTAGTTAGAACATATTAGAAATCTGGCCATGCCTCTTTTGGTTAAAATTTCAATTAAAACATCAGATGGCACTTCTTTTCTATTACCATTAGGAGAATATTCAATTGACTAAAAAGGCATTTGAAAATTTCATCGTACTTTCAACATATTTGTTTCTAGAGTTGGATAAACAACTATTTGTCTAAAGAGAAGTACTCTGAAAAGACAAAGGACTTGCTGGGTGAAGCTAGATTTAATAAATGTTGGGGAGATTTCTAGTTCACATTTACCTGCTGGTGGTGAGGTGGGTAGGGGAGACTTTTATTCTTAGCGAAGTAACTGGAAAAATATAATGTGCAAGGGTCTATTTTCCCCCTTCATCTCCATCTTAAGTCCTGAAATGTTTTAGTGAGCCAGAATGAAGCTTATTTTTTTAAATCATGCTTCCATAAAATGTAACCCCTGGGACTTGGAGGAGAGAGACCAGCCAAGGGTTAGCCTGAACCCTTTATCACTCGCAAACACAGAGGCTTACGGTATAAGTGACACACTGCAGATAGATTTACTTTTACCATTTTAAATTTATGATGGCTGAAATGAAAGGAAAATAGCAGTAATAATCCTCCCCCGAGTTATGAGACATGAAACATCTAGTAATTAGGTGGTAACAAAATCTGGACATCCTTATCTTTGCAAATCACACCAGGTTTGTGAAAGAGAGTGGAGTGGCCCTGCTCAGGAGTGAGTGAGGCTACCGTGGGGGCAGTCGAGAGAGAGCTCCGGAAATAAATCTGCCAACCCCAATCGCTTGCCAGATGTGGAGGGCACCACGGGATATGTTTAAATGAGCTGGTATTTAATGGGAGATTATGCTGAATTGTCAGCTGCTCGCTTCCCTTTGTAAATCTGTATTTCATGTGATGTCTTTGTTCTCTTCTTAACTGCAGTGTAATTCAGGCCTACCTTGGAGATCTGAATCTTAATTTCATTTAAAAGATGAATTTAGAAGGAAGTGCCTTGGCCTCCTGAATTAGATCTGTTTTAGTTCATAGACAAGGCTTTCCTGAAATATGTTATCAAGCCCACAACCATGAGATAACTGGCACTGATTTTTTGCTTTCTCATTATTCTTTGCACATATCAGTTATTTTACAAAACGTGAATTCTCCCAAGCTGGTTGTTTATTACCCCTTGCACTGTGTCCCCTGGCGTCAGAGAGCGAGTGGATACTGGGCATGCACTTCCTCACCACTCAAGGGCCCAGAGCCCTAAACTGTGTTGTAAAATGGAAATGTTGGTATCGAATTACTTCCATAAACCTTGGCGAGAATCTCCTCGTTGGAGTCAAGACCCCCTGTTAGGGGCAAATAAAGTCCTATGTTTATAGACAATATTATACCAGACTGCCCGAAGGCAAAATATTTGTTAGCCTCCCTATGTCTTCACTGTATTTTACTTGCTTATCTGGGGTGAGTGCAAGTGAATCGCATTTCTGCATACCTAAAATACATCATATTAAAATCAGAAGTTGACTCCCTTGCTGTGAAAAATGTTCAGATAACAGTTAAAATAGAATGAAGAGCGTAGTGCTGGCCGAACAACTCTAAATGGCTGCAGCTGTGTTGAGCTTCAAATTGCTAGACACATGCGCGCGCGCGCGCACACACACACACACACATACACAGACACACACACACAGACACACACAGAGCTTCTGATGCAAATTCACTTCTATTCTTTGAACATACTAGCTTTTGTCTACATAGAATCCAGCCTAATTATTTGTTTGGTAATTAAAAAATCCTCAGTTAAAAACAAAACAAAAAGGAGCAGTATATACAGAAATACAACCTACAGGTCCCCTCAAAAAAGCAGACATTAATGTCCACAGAGCAAATGTTAACATTTTAGTGTATTATTAGGAGGATAATTCTATCAAGACATTATTGTTTGGATTTGTCCATTTTTAAACTTGAAAATCTAGTAGACAGGTGTTGCTTTACTGCCTTGTGAGCTCTTTATGCCTCCTGAGAGGTGTGCAGGGTCATGTTTCAGGAAGCCTATTCTGCCTGGGCTTGGAGGACACAGAGAGCTTGCCCACCCTTCCTGCTTCCTGGAGGCCTGTCAATACAAGCTATTCAGACCTTAAAGATGGATTTTCTGCCCAGGAGCTCCGTGGGGCAGGAAGTCCGGGGTCTGCTTATGGAGTACAGGGAGAGTGCTGTTTGTCTGTGGAGGGAGGGTCTGATATTTAGCAGCTTGTGTTCCTCCATCTTGAAACTCTCACTGAACCATTATTCCACTAATTTCTCATCTTGATTAGGGACCAGGAATGGCTTTTCTCCTCTTGCAAGTTTACGTGGTCTACCCTGTGTTTTCCACTCATGAGACAGTTCTACATTGTCCTTAAAAACAAATCAGGAACTCATTCATTAGAAAATGCCACATGCAAATATTAATGAAGAACATAGAGGATTTGAACCTAGTGGCGAAATTTGCCTTTTCAGAGACAAGACTTTTTTTTATATAAGGGAAACTTGTCTCTTAGTCTGGAACTCCAAACCCATCATCAAACTTCAGTTCTATAAGCCTGTATTTAGCCCCTACCATGTGTCAAGTGCTGTGCTAGGCAACATGCAAGAGGCTCAGAGTCTACCTTCTAAGAATTCACAGGTTGTGTTGGAACCAGGTGAACAAAACAACTTGGAATCTGCTATGGTAGCCACAGAGGCATGCACAGTGTACAGACGAAACCCGAGGATGTCAGGACTAACTTTGTTATTGATCTAGGAGAAGGGTCAGTGTCATGGAACTCTAGCAATGAGATCATGATCTGGGTCCTGGAAAGCAGATATATAATGTCCATGGAAATGTATTTCAGTCTGCTTTCTATGGTTCTTTTAATCTATCCCCTACTGCCACCCAAGAAATCATTGCTATAGTTAGCTGTGGGAGAGTTAGTTAGGGAGAGCTTCCTGGAAGAGGTAGAGGCCGAGCTGGTTGTGCTAAACACATCTACCAAGAAGAATTTCCATTAAAAAAAATAACAATAATAAAATTAAAAGAAAAAGAAGAATTTTCAGCAACAGTTAGTGAAAGAAGAGCTGCAAGCAAAGTATAGGTTATTTTTATCCCATGCCTTTTAGATATTTTCTAAATCCTTCATGTACTTTTTTGCTGAGAGCAGGCAGTTTCCAAGTTATGGCCCAGATCTTGGATCACTGGGTTCTCAACCCAGTAGCCCCTGTTTGTAATAACTATTCTGTAATGCCTTATTAACTCCGTTGAAATAAAATTCAGAAATAATGTAACTCCCTTACACAAATATATTTTTAAATCAATGTGATAGCATAACTGTAATATAAATTAAAAAAATGAATGCGAAACGAAAGAACATGTGTTTGAAAATGTGACTGCTCGGGCAGGACTGCAGGGAAGATAATGTGATCAGAGGCAAGTGTCCAGGCCTGAGTCACCATGAGTGGGGCAATCACACATGCAGACTGCTGTCCTTAAAAACAAATTTGCTGACTCAGATATCACCAGCATGGAGTCAAGCCTCACCCAGCTCCAGAAAACAAAATCAGAAAGTACATTTATTCCTCATTCATGCTGTAGTTGCGCCACACTGCTGCAAATTCAATGAATATTAAAACTGTGCAAATATGTAAAACACAGTTAGGTTCTAAGCTCAGATGGTTATAAACAGACTTCAGCGTACGGATGTCCAGTGGGACCATCTTTGTCGAGCAGTACCCCGCCTGCATTGCAGGACACCCACCATCCTTGGCCCCTGCCGGCAGTCATTATGACAGGCAGGAAAAGGCCCCCATAAATTTCCAAATTTCCCGCTAAGTTCCACTGCCTTAAGACGAGTAAGCTCAAAAGTATGGGCTTTTCCTGTGGTTTGGGAAGTTGGAAACCAGCACCAAACAATTACTTTCAAAGTCTCATTTGCCATATCCTTGATGACGTTTCTGGCTATCAGCTTTGATGATGACTTCAGAGCAGCAATGTCATGTAGCACTAGCAATTGGATGTCATGGACTGAGTCCTGGAGAAGGGACATTTGATTTCTATTAAAACATGAATTTCATCTACCCTTGCAATGCTTTTCTTGGTCTTAGCCCAGACTGAACTGCTCATAATGAGGAAAATAAGATTATTTCCTAATTGTGTTCTATCTTTTTTGTTGTTGTTTTCCCATAGCCGTTTTCTAGAATACCCTCATTATGCTACCTTATTACCCAGTGCAAATGCCCAGAGTTAATTTAATGAAGCAAAATCTGAACATCGTTAACAAAGATGAGACTGTCTAGAACATTCCTTTTGTTCTTATCCTTTTTTTTTTTTCCTTTAGGACAGTCACTACTTTGTTGTTATTTTTAAAAAAGAAAAAAAGGCAAGAAACAAACAGCTGGTGTTTAATGACTCCGTCAGACCCAATTATAAAACATCAACTAGTTACTTTGATTTGTGCGCGTTCATGCCATGGGTATACTTAAAAACACTAGACTCTGCCAGAACTCATTTTGGCTTTGTTTACATTTATCTTTTAAACGTATAAGACTATTGATGGCATCTCACCAAGGTTATAACCCCTTATAATCATTAATTTTTAATCTGGAAAAGAGGCTCGGAGGCAGCAAGACTCATCTATATTTACTTGGATGTTCAAATGAAAATATACAGGACTCAAGCCTTGGCTAAAATAATCCAGGAAAGCCCCATCAAAGGTTAGGAATGTGATATCTTTCAGCTTCCAAAAGCAGCAGCCCTTTATTTAAGATGCTTTTCCATTTAATTTAATTATCCTTGAACTTCCTGTTGGAGGTTTGGAAAAATATATGGTGTAGGGGGTGGGGGGGGTGGAGTACAGCATATTAAGATGGCTACATTTATGAGTTAGGGCCTTATTAAGTTTATTTTTGGATCCAGTTTGGTTTATATTGTTTAATCAACATTATCTATTTTTAAGGGAGACTGTTTCGCTATAGGCACAATTGAGTTTTCTGTAGTCTCTGCTAGTTTCCTCAGATTTCAAAACACCAAAGAACTTGTATAGGAAGTCAGAGCTTGGTTGCTTCACGTCATAAGCATATGTTCTGTTTTTTAGATTTACAGATATTAACGATTCCTCTGGAAAACTTGACTTCAGCCGCCTTTCTCCATCTAAGAACGACTATTGGGCCATGCTAGCTTACAACCGGTCCAAACTCTGCAATGTCCTGTTCTCCAATGAGCTACACCGTCGCCTGTCCCCACGCGGGGTCACATCCAATGCCCTGCATCCTGGGAACATGATGTACTCCTCCCTTCATCGCAACTGGTGGGTGTATACGCTGCTGTTTACCCTGGTGCGGCCCTTCACCAAGTCCATGGTAAGTGAACGACTTCGATTGCTGCCAATGCCTTCCATGCGCCAGTTGGGAAAGGGTCTAGAGAAACACAGAGATGTGTGTTTTCTTCAGCCTCTCACCTCTTGATATGATGAGTCTGGTCTCAGTAATTGCATGGTTGGGCCTATTAGCACCGTCAGAAGGGGCCCTTGAACACATTTACATTGATGTTAGATTCAACCTGTTCAGTGTTGTCACTAGGATTGGTGTCACCCAGTGCGGTAACTCATGGTGTCACACTCCGCTCGTGAACCTCCTGTTGTACAGGGCCATACAGAATCCTTAGTAATATTTTTTGTACTAATGTTACTCAAATCATAATTCCCGTATATCACTCCTTCTTTTCCTTTAATTTCTACTTAGTTCTCAAAAAGTTATTGATATAGGTTCCCAAATACTAATTACCCCAATATTGTACCTAAAACATCAGAAAATTTGACAACATCAGTGACTATAAAAACACTGGCAGCAATGAAAACAACAGTGCATGCTTGTATTGCTTGCAGAGGAAACCATGTGGTTCAAAGTGTCATTGTAATTGAGTAATAATGACAGCTTTGACTAGAGAGCATTGTTGTTGTTGTTAGGTGCCATCGAGTCGGTTCCGACTCATAGTGACCCTGTGTACAACAGAACGAAATACTGCCCAGTCCTATACCACCCTCACAATCGTTATGCTTGAGCCTGTTGTTGCAGCCACTTTGTCAATCCATTTCTTTGAGGGTCTTCCTCTTTTTAGCTGACCCTCTACTTCACCTTCTCTAGAGCGCATTAGAAGGTTCAAAAAGTTAATTAGCGTAGAGTTTTAGCCTTGTAGGTATACTGATACATGTAAGCCGAGCTTATGAAAAATGGTTTTGTTGTTACAACTAACTAGACGGATATTTTTATAAAAAATAATAAATTTCTGCTGAAACACTGCACAAAAATTTTATGGACAGTTATTTTGGTGTCTGACATTGTCACCTGGTATGGCCCACACCACCTGTGGCCCCCTAGTGACGCCACTGAACTTGCTTCTCTAAAGGTATCTGGAGGGCTGGATAGATGCGGTTTTTCAATGTTAAGTATGGCTAAAATCTTGTTGGGCATGATAACTTGTTCTCCTTTGATGTAATTTTTGTTTTGATTCAGAAGCTTTGAAAATCTGGTTGAGCATAGTACTTGGAAACTGTGTTTTGGATTAGTAGGTGAAAAATGTGGATTTGTGATTATTGAAGTATCAGCTGATATGATTCCTTTGTTTTCAATGGGAATCTATATCTGATGTTCTAAATGCTGCTTTTAATGGGTGTAAGCCTGTCCTGGAGAATGATTTGTTGGCCAGAAGTGTGTTTTATGCTTTGTTTTCCCAAAGATGAATCTTTTTGAATGAATCACACTACTATGGTTAGATTTGGAAAGGTTTACAAATGTGGATATGAAGTTTTTAGATTTTAGATGGTTATTTTACAACCAAGTCTAGAACCCTCTCCCATGGAATCATTTTAGTGGGAAGTAATTTGAATGAATAATGGAAATTCTACACAATGTGCTTGGAATATACTAATCCATAGGCCTTTACCAATTTTTTTCCCATTAATGGACACTAGTGTTCCAGTTAAAACACTTATCTTCCAATCCATAGAAATTACCCTTCTCCCACATACTTTTTGGCCTTTACGGGTATCAGAAGTCAGACCATCATCCCTCAATTCCCTGGACAAATGGCTGTACAGCCTCCGAATACAGTCTACCTTCTTCCCTGTACCCTCACCCACATACCACCCTTAACCATCATGTTTGTGGATGACTTTTGAAACTATAACAAACATCTTTTGAAGTGCCTCGGAGAAAATAAGTAAGTGGGTCTTTTATTCTAATCACTCAAGTGGTTTTAATGCAAGGTAAACATAGTCCAAGAGTTGAATACTTAGAATCAAAGGAGTTGGAAGTGCACAGGTCTCTGGAGAGCAGTTCTGCGTGTCACAGGGTCAGGCTGATATCTCTGAAGGAAATGAGTAGCCCATGTGTATGGACATCACAGGGTTCTGAAATTTCCCCATCATTTTGCTCTTCGTTATTGAGTAACAATAGGCTCTCCATGAGGGTTTCTTTGACCATGATTATGGCTCATTCTCAGTGCTTCAGTGTATATGATGAAGAAGAGTATGGGTCTGAATTGGGTGCCTGTACCACTTACACAACTGTGGATAAGCCCTTCAAATTTAGGATGGGAGAGAGGGAGAGAGGAGCATTCTTTTTCATTTTCCTTTGGCCCTGTGCCTTCAGGACCAACAGGCCAATCCATGAATATAGCATGTTATCTTTGGATGTTGATTCTTCTCACTTGTATTTGTTCATTGGTAGGAGCTAAGGAACTCCTTTCTATGACATCAGAGAGTTTTTGTGTTTCCATTGCCAGAATTTCCCTGATCAGAGTAATGTGATGGAAATGACTTGGAAGTGGATCCGTGACTATTGGGAATGTGATAGAGGGTGGTGTAACCATGTTGTCATTGGCATGAACTATTGTGGATGAGGGCTTGTTGACAGAAGATGGTAGAAACTATTATTCTTCAACCTGACCCCAAAGTTTAGCAACTCTGGGCAAAGGCAGGTAGGAGGAGAAGGAAGGCAGGGCCTGGTAAAATGAAGGTGAGGGTAATGTTTTGTTTCTTGGGGACGAGTCGATTGTTGTCTAATATCTAATGTAAATTGTACTTAACAATGGCGGGCTTTATTGCTGGTTCTTTGGACCCAATAGGAGGGTTTCTAAGAGGTGCCGCGAAGTAAGTTGGGCAAGTAACCAACTTTGTCATAGTACCAGGTAGTGTATCGCTATTTGTGGGGAAAGTATGGTTAGGACTGAAGCCAAGTGGAAAACCAGAGCGTGGAGTTGGAAACTAAGGCAGAACATTGTTATATAGACATGGGAGCACAGTGTTAGGGGAAGGTTGCCTCTCAGTAAGCACCACACCTGGAACCTCTCCCAGCCATTGGGATGCCAGTCCTCAAGGACCGACCCCCCAGCCTTCTCCAGCCAGTGGTACAGAGGCCTTACCATCCCCTGCCCCAGTCAGGGGAGCTCAGGCAGAGACTATGTGAGCAGGACTCAATGACTGCAGCCAAGCAAGGCTTAGGACTGAGAAGAACACCTGCTGGGAGCAACCTTGGGTAACAGATAAAACAAGGGCTGGCTTTATGGCCCTGGATTAGAGGAGCGTGGAAAAATGAGCACATAAACCTTGAGAGGTGTTATGGATTGAATTGTGTCCCCCCAAAATGTATCTCAACTTGGCTAGACCATGATTTTCAGTATTATGTGGTTGTCCACCATTTTGTGATCTGATGTGATTATCCTATGTGTTGTAAATCCTAACCTCTATGATGTTAATGAGGCAGGATTAGAGGCAGTTATGTTAATGAGGTAGGACTCAATCTATAGGATTAGGTTGTATCTTGAGTCAGTCTCTTTTGAAATATGAAAGAGAGAATCCAGCAGAGAGGAGAGGGATCTTATACTGCCAAGAAAGAAGTGACAGAGCAGAGCGTGTCCTTTGGACCCAGGGTCCCTGTGCTGAGAAGTTCCTAGACCAGGGGAGGATTAATGACAGGGACCTTCCCTCAGAGCCAACAGAGAGAGAAGGTCTTCTCCTGGAGCTGGTGCACTGAATTTGAGCTTCTAACCTCCTAAACTATGAGACAATAAATTTCTGTTTGTTAAAGCTATTCACTTGTAGTATTTCTGTTATAGCAGCACCACATAATTAAGACAAGAGGGTTTTGAAAAAATTGATAACATCACAGAAAATATAGTTTTTGGTTAAAATGAATGGGGGCGGGGGAGTGTTCATAGAGCAGAGGAAAGGACTCAAAATGATTTCCCAGTGATGATGAGCATTAAGAAGTGGCAGCTTGAGACAGTGGAGCAAGCAGTCCTCCTGCTAATGATCAAGCCCCAGCCCTTACCCTGGAGAACTGGGACAACTTGGGCAAGCCACTTAACCTTTCTGAGCCTATTACCTCACCAGTGAAGTGGTGAATCAGGTCAGTGTGAGAATTTGCACTAATGGATATAATTCCTCTGTCCAGTAGAATTTCTGTGATGATTATAATTGGGCTGTCCAAAATGTAGCCTCTGGCCACATGCGGTTACTGAGCCCTTGAAATGTGGCAAAGGAACTGAAATTTAAATTTTATTATATTTAAATAGCTACACGTGGCTAGTGGCTACCACGTTGGAGAACGTGGTTAAATAATGTGCTGATAACAATGTCTATGGTGTAGTAGGTACACAGTACTTCTTGCTGTGATGGTTATTATTATTGTTGTTATGTGTAATACTATGGTCCTGAAGGTTATTTTCCAAAGTGCAGTTTCTGCTGATGGATACAACAAGGGTCACAGGGTCAAAGGAATCTAATAATTGGGAGTCTGGTGTTGCTGGGGATGATGGTCTGTCCCTGGCCCCAAAGACCCAAGGAGAGGGTTACTGTCAAGGTTGCCTAGGTAGAAGGAGTGTCCAGCCTTCATATCTGGTCCCCAAGGAAACTATAGTGGTTTGTACTTTACATGTTCCTGTCTCCAAGTGATTGGAAAACAGCATTTTCTATATGCCACAAACTGACTTTTTTAGATAAGCATATAAATTAGGAAGACTATGAAATATATAGCTAAGTTTAGGTTTTTATCAACATTCTCTCTAATAATGTCTTTATATATTTAAGTGTTTGGTGATATTTCTTAGCCATCGGAGTCCCATATGGTTCAGTTTATAAAGAGGTGGAACAGAGACTTTGGACTTACTTGTCAAACTCACAGTCAATCATTTCACTTCCATAAACATTTAAGACTATGTGCACTTGGGAGGGGGGTTAGCATGCATGCAGACCTGGGGTCAGTCTCTTTCACTGACAGTACAGACTGGACTTATTGGAAAAGTTACCCTTATGCTGTATCATTTGTACATGCTTGGCATTGCTTCCATCGTGATAAGACAT